GGGCCCGAGGGCGCACGCGGAGCTGGGGGGCCGGGCCCCGCCCGTGAGGTAGTCTCGGCGTCGGGCGGCCAGAGCCACACAGCCGGGCGCTGAGGTAACACCTGGACGTTTATTCGGCCGGCACGCGGGTCAGGACTCCTCGGCACCCGAGTCGTCCTCGTCGTCCCCGAAGCAGCTGTCGGCCTCGGCCTCGGCGTCCTCGTAGTAGTCATCGTAGAAGAGGTCCGAGCCCTCGTCGGGCGCGGGCGCCCGCGTCTTCACGCAGTACTCGGCCAGCGTGGTGGGCACCTTCACGCCGTCCCGCTCCGCGTCCACCTTGGTCCCCAGGACCTGCTTCCTGCGGAGACACGGCCGGCGTCAGCGTCACCGCCAGGGGCCGGGCCGCCAGCACCCACGGCCGGCGTGGAGCACAGCATGGGCCACGGGGGGCACAGCGACACCCGCCCCCACCACCTCCGCTACTGCAGCGCGACCCCCAGCATCCGGCAGGAGCTACCTCTGAAACAAAGCCACGGAGGGTGGACCACAGACACGGAAGCTCTAACCCCGGCAGGGCACGGGGACACGGTGAGCTGGGCAGATGGGCCGAGAGCAGCCGTCATGCTCACCATGTGGCACGTGTGAGCCAGCCCACTGGGAGGCTCGGGCATAAAAATAGCCTGGGTTTTATTTTGGTACCACGTGGAGGCGGGTGGGAAGAGCTGGGATGGGGAGCGGGCCACGCGGCAGGACCCTTGGGGTGCCCAGCCTGTGCTCACCCCGACCCTGAGGCCATGCCACGCAGCGCCCCAGGGCTGCAGAGCACCTCTTGGTAGGACAGGCAGCGAGGCAGACGTGAGGGGGTCACGGCTGGAGACCTCGCCGCATCGGTGGAGCCTCTTGCTGGCAGCCCACGGGATACAGACAAAGGGGGACTGAAACCTGCCCAGCGCCGCCACCGGAGTCCGAGACCTTCGACCACAAGGATAAAGATGATGGGTGCACCGACAGCACACGCAGAGCCTTCTGCTCTGTGCCTCTAGAAGACGCCGACCTTTCCTTAATTTACACATGAACTCCACACGCACGAGCCCCCTTCTGTGGGCATGACTGCCAGGACAGTTCCAGAGGGTCCCCGAGAAGGTCGAGAACTCCCCTCCTAACGTGTGGGTGGAGGAAAGACCATTATTGACGGATCACCAGATAACGCTAATTCCCTCCAAACAGCCCAAATAAAAACAAAACTAACCCAGGACTCAGGGCAGGACCCTTCCTCTAGTCAATCTCTGCTCACTGTTACCGCTGTGCCAGCGTCTGAATTTCTCTCTGACGCTGACCGACAACCTGAGCGAGCGGACTCTCCGGTCTGGTGACACTGGGACACCCACCACAGCGCTCAGACCCCACAGACAGAAAGCTGTGACGGCCCAGCACGGGGGACGGTGGGGATGCAGAAAGGAGGAAGGGGCTGCTCGGGGCGTGTGGGGTACAGAGCACACGGGCTACTGCACGACATCTCCAAGGTCCCTCAGAAACCCTGCTCCCCTAAGACATGCGGACACCAGCAGATGGGGCGGGGGGGCACAAGGGAACTGACGGGATCCACCAGGAGGAGGAGACAGGCAAACAGGACGGGACCCCGCAGAGCACAGGGAGGACCCGAGACGGGACGCGTCAACCCCCTAACAGACGCCCCACATCTGTCCACGTGCTTATCTCCGTCCACGTGCACGCCTCTGTCCACCTGCGTGCACCTCTGTCCCCGTGCGCATCTCTGTCTGCATGTGTCTGTCTGCATGTGCGTGGCTGTCCACATGTGTGCACGTCTGTCCACATGCACGCACCTCTGTCCCCGTTAGGACCTCTTTCCATGTGCACATCTCTGCATGGCTGTCCACGTGTGTGCATGTCCACGTGCACATCTGTCTGCATGTGTCTGTCTGCATGTGCACGGCTGTCCACGTGGGTGCGCCTCTGTCCACCTGTGCACCTCTGCGTATGTCTGTCTGCATGTGCATATCTGTCGACATGCGCACCTCTGTCCAGGTGTATGCACCTCTATCCACACGCGCACGTCTGTCCACGCATGAGCACATCTGCCCACGTGTGCATGTCCACGGGTGTGCACGGCTGTCCACATGCATACCTCTGTCCACGTGCGCACCTCTGTCCACGCGTGCACGTGTCCATGACATGCACGTCTGTCCACACGTGCGTGTCTGTCCACACGTGTACCTCTACGTGTCCATGTCTGTCCACGTGCACACACCTGTCCACACGTGCACCTCTGTCCACACGTGTACCTGTCCACACGTGCACCTCTGTCCACACGTGCACATCTGTCTGCATACACACATCTGTCCACGTGCACACACGTGAGAGGTGGGCACTGGTGCGGCTGCAGGACGTGACGCTCACTGCCGCCACGGGCCGTGTGTGACAGGACGGTGTGGGTGTGCCAGGCCCCACGGACGGGCCTCAAAGGTGAGGGAGTCAGAGCAGTGGCCTTGGAGGCCGTCCTCTGCGTGTCTAGACGTGAGGTCAGGGGTTGGGGTGCGGGAGTGACTGGGGGCAGGAGGGAGGTTGTGGGGTGGACGTCTGGAAGGAGACACAAGTGTCATTCATCAGCTGTCAGGGTTGTGGGGTTTTCTCCTTGTCTGTTTGTACTGAAATCGTGTCTGCTCACCAATGGGCTCCCTCTTCCCGCTCGGGTCTGTCTCTGTGGCCTTGTCGCCGGGCACACCCCTGAGCACTGTCCCCACAAACGAGGTGGCCCCACAGGCTCCCCTGTGCCTCTTCAATCCGACTCCCAACACCACTGATGCCCTGACACAGCATGGACAGGCCACGGCGTGGACAGGCCACGGCTCCTCATCCTCCACCCGTGATAACGTCTGGGCTGTTGTCAGTGTCTGGGGACCAAAGTGTCCTGGGCGTTTGCGTGGACGCTAGCGTGGACGTGCCGTCCATCCCTTGTTGGTAAAACGCGGGCCTCACATGGCTGGCTCCTCACAGATGTGCGTCTGGCTTCTTATTGATTTTTCTAATTGAAGGTAGATGAGAAACAGGATATTTGGGAAAAACCTAATGAAGGGTTAAGTCTGTCATGAAATGAGCCAGTGAACCCCGCACTGGAGAGAGACGCGGATGTGGACGTCGAGAGCCCGCAGAGCGCAGGGGACGAGCCGGAGGTGGCGGCCTGAGAACCCATGACGTACAGGACTCCTTGGCAAAGACCTTCGCCTGTTTGTTCACGAGGAAAATGCCGGAAACAACTAGAACAACTGGGGTCAAGTCCCCCAAATCCCCGAGTGACCTGCCGCTTTTGTACCAGGAAAAACTACTTCTCAGAAAAGAAGGCTGTTCCCTAAACGTGCCGACACCACGACCACTGTCTGCCTTCTGGAAACAACTGCAGGATCCACGCCCACCGAGGGGAGTGAGGTCCACAGACAACTGTCACGTGGGGACCAGACCTTATGCGAAGCACAGCCGCGGTGACTCAAGAAACACCTTCCCCGGGAGGAGGGGTGTGAAGCCAAGTCGGGGGACAGAGACAGAGAGACACGCACGCACACATGAACCCACAGACACATAGACACACGCAGGCCCTGACGTGGCTCAGGTGGCACCAAAACGCCGACAGCAGACCCAGCCCCCCAGCGGGACATGCACGCTGGGGCCCCCCTCTGTCCTGAGAGGCGCTGCCCGAGGTGGGGCCGGGGGCGCAGAGGAGGGCAGGAGCTGCGGGCTCCCCTCACAGGCGAAGGGGCCGTGGGGAACCCTGTGAAGCTGTGTGGAGGCCAGGGCGTTAGTGGGTGCCTGGCACACATGTGACACACACCACGTGCGCTGACCCGCACACGCGTGTCTGCATCACACAAACACGCCAACTACAGCCGGGACGGTGGGAGCTCTCGCTGCAACGGGGAAGGCGACGCCCGTTGTCTGGAACAAGGGGCAGGAGAGACCAGAGAGCGCCCACGCGTTGGGCCCGTGCCCGCCGGCCCTCACCGGACGATGTCCGTGTACTCGCGGTCCCGGCCCTCGCTCTCCTTCCACTTGCGGTACATCACCGAGGCGTCCACGTTGGCCGGAGAGAAGGTGTTGGGCTCGTTGAGGAGGGAGATGACGCTCAGGAGGATGGTCCTGGGGGAGCAGGGTGTCAGCGGCGGCAGGCGTGGGGGCGTCCAGCCTGGAGTCTGAGCCAGGATTCCCGGCCCCTCAGCCTGAGTGACGGGGGCTTCTGGACACGTCCTGAAGCCGGCGTCCGGCCAGGGCCCCCGGCACCCCCGCTCCCCAGGACAGCAGGGGCTGAGCACTGGGCCCGCCCCACCCACCGGGCACCTCCCGTCCTCTGCCACACGCCCAGCTCCGGGGACAAGACGTGCAGGCAGCTGAGGCCGGGACCCCCTTCTTCCCTCCATCCCCATCCCCTAGGGGTCCCGCCTGGGGAGCGGCTCCCTCCGTGCCACCAACTCCCACTATAGCTTGGGCTGGAATAAGGATGAGCAGGCCAGGAGGCAGGGTGCCCACTCGGCCACAGGGGGCCGTCCACTCAGGGCGAGGAGCTCACCCCCAACGTGGCGGGGGCTGGGTCTGGTGGGGGCTGAGCACGAAGGAAGACCCAGGGTAGGCAGATGTGGACACAGCATGCCCAAAGGCCGTGCCCGACGGTGGACGGGGCAGGGTGTCAGAGAACGAGGGGGGAGGCCCGCAGAGCCAGCCCTAGGGACCCCGATGTCCCGGCGGGAGGCCAGCCTGGACAGCAGCTGCAGCACCGCCGGGAGCCATGGCCCCGAGGACGACACGGGTGCGTCCCCAGGGCTGGCCGGGCCTGACCAGGCCCCGCAGGAGCAAGGAGGTCAGGAAGGGGGTCCCCCCCGCCTCACCTGACGTTCTGGGTGGGGTTCCACCGCTCCGAGGGCAGCTCCCCACTCTGGGGATCGTCGATGGGGGGATGAAGAATGGAGATGCACACGTCCCCCGTCTGCGCGGGACAGAGGGAGGGAGGGCTCAGCGCCTTCACGTCACCCCCCACGCCCCCATCACAGAGAGACCTGGAGGCACAGGCTCACCTCGTAGATGTTGGGGTGCCACATCTTGGTCAGGAACCGGAAGGCGGGCGGGGAGTAAGGGTAGTCGATGGGGAACTTGAGGCGTGCCTGTGTTGGGGAGAGCAGGGGCTCAGCCAGGCTGCCTGGCCCCCATTCCCGAGCACAAATTCAGGCCACCGCTTGGGGACTCCGCCCAGGAACGCAGGAACAGGACGTCAGCCTGGGACGGACACCCCACCAGGACAGCGGGTGTGCACGACGGACCCTGCCTGCTGCCCATGTCCCCACAGGCCTGGGGTCTGGGGCACGACAAGCTGCCTCAGCTTTCTGGGGTCACTGGGCTGACCACAGCCTCCACTACCGCGGGGAGTGTGGGCACCCGCCCAGAGAGCAGGTCCGCCGTTGGCGCCCAGGCCGAAGGACAGACGGGCGCCCGGGCCCTGGCTCCAGGCCCCAGGCCAGCAGGCAGCTGCAGACCAGTCTGGCTCGAGGCCCTGGCCCTGGGAGCTGTGCGCCTCGAGCACGGCCCGGACTCCCGAGCCTCAGTTTCCAGGTTGTAGGGAGGACTAAAATAGCCACATGTTCACTCAGCAACCCCTCCCGACACCTCGGCGGCCGGCCCGTGGGAGGAGATGAGTCAGCGCGGGGCAGATGGCGCTCTGCCCGCAGGTGTCCATGTGGGGGTCAGGAGACCGAGAGGAAAGTCACGGGCAGATGGGGAGGGCCGCCCGCCGGTGACGGAGCTGCCCGGTCCTCAGTGGGGAAGGGGCTCTGTCTGTCATTGAGGCCCCAGTCCAGGCACCGGACGCCTGGCTGGATCCTGGCACCGCCCGGGCTCTAGGGGACCAGGAGGCCCACCTCTGGAGCATCGCCCTCCCGGGCGGGGCCCTCGGGGGACATCCCTGTGTCCTCGGTGAGCAAGCTGAGGCCACAAAGCAATCCTGGGATGCGGTGTCAGGACCCACCCTGCAGCCCCGAGCCCAGGACTGGTTTCCAGGTGACGCCCGAGCTTGGCCGAGGCATCCCTGCACCGAGCACCCACTGTTCCCACCACGTCTCACTTCAAGCACCCAGAGACGCCTTTACCGCTGAGCAAACAGGCTCAGACATGGAAACCACTGTGCCCAAGGACACACGACAAGCGAGGTGCAGAAGGGGCTCTGGAACCCAGGTCTCCCCGGCAGCCCCCTCACACACCGCATTTCCCAGGGGCCTGTCTATGGCTTGCAAAGGAGAAGTGGGTGCAGCCGGCCTGGCCGAGAGGAAGGCGGAAGTGACCCATGGAGGCCCACGGGCACTTCCCACTCCCCGTATTTCCACATCTCCTGCGAAGAGAGTCTTCCCCACCCCCACACACCCGCACGTGGACAGGAGGGCCCAGTCGGCAGCAGAACCATGCTGAGTCTCACGCCGGCTTCTCTGAGGACAGACCCTACGGCAGACGATATGAAGCCTCCAGTCTTCTCTAGAGAAACAGGATGACTCCCGTCGCTAACCTGGCAGTTCTACCCACAACCCCTTGCAACCACTTACTGGGCAATAGCCAGAGACCCATGTTCTCTCCTCCCAGACAGGCAACCTTGCTCGGAGACCTGGCCTGGCCTCAGGGGGTGACCCCGTTATCCCAGCTCTGAACCCTCATCCTCACAGCCGGCGAAGCAGACAAGAGAGGCTGAGGAGGGCACTGGTTATACCAGTGACCAAATCTGCTGCCTGCATGGGGAGACCAGGTGGCAGACACAGAATTTGGCCCAGGGCGGCCCTCACTCGTCCCCTCATCCCACCCAGCACGAGGGAACCTCGACTCAGGGATCACGCCAGCAGACCAGGCTGCTCCATTAGCCCAAAGTGCAAACATAGACATCTACCCAGCAGCACCCGCCCCGCCCTGCAGCAGGCCGGGCTGTGGTTTCTGCTCCCCACCCAGGCCTCCAGCCAAGCAGGACCTGGCAGGACCTGGCAGGGCCGTGTGGGGCTCCTGGCCAGCCGTGACAGGGGGTTCCTGAGCTGAGGGCTCACTCCCCAGCTTGCGCACATTAAGACCCCTGCGTTGTCCCTCAGGCTCAAAGAGCAGAGTGCTTCCACGTGAGCGGGGTCGCTCCAAGGCCATGGCTGGGCTCAGACCATTAGACCAAGAACGCTGCCCAGATCTGGGCCCGAGTCCCCTTTCACTCCAGACAGAAGTACAGCCTGCCTAGGAAGCACTTGCCTCCCTGCTCCCAACAACAGGGAACCCCTAGGAATTAAGACACCGCAGAGGACAGTAGAGAGGGCCCAGAGTATGAGACTCGGGCCCCAAGGAGCCACCTGCTCTGTGGAAGCCAAGAAAGGCCCGTTAGGGCGAGAGGAGCGCAGCTTCAGCAGCCAGGATCGGGGTGCTGGCAGGAGCTGGGGCCCGGGGGCGCGCTCTGCGCTGGGTGCAGGCACAGGGCGGAGGATGGAGGGACGGCCTCCACCTCCCCAAAAGAGACACGTTATATAATGCCAGTGATCAAGCAGAGGGCCTGGGCCCTGCTTTCAGCCAGGGGGGCCGCCCTCCAAGCATGTCCTGCTGCCAAGGCCCATCTGGGCCTTTGTTGGAACTCGAGCAAGTGGCCAAGCAGCCACCCCACGCTGGCCTCGCTCCCTCCCTCCTTCCTCCCCAAAGCTGGTGCTCCCCAATAGTGCTCCCGGTTCTGGGGAGCTCCCTTTGTCCTCCAGGCAGGCCAGGGGGGCAGTTGAGGGCCGGGTGGGCCACGGCTCCCTTTCCCTCCCTGCAGGGCCAGCCAGGTTGGAGAGACGGGGCACCGGGCCCAGCCTCCCAGCGAGAAGAGAAGCAAAACCCCACATCCAACAAACAGGGGGCTCCGGCCTCCTCTCTGGGGGCCTGAAGCTGCCTTCAAGGGAACCCGGTTCTCGGGGACTCCTGGGGCCGGACGTCAGGGGACACCAAGGGGTCCCCCAGCCTGACTGAGGTGGGGAGGGCCCTGCCAAGGGAGGAGGAAATCTGGCCGAGAAAGGAGGAGGGTCCGGCTGAGGAAGGAGGAGGTCCAGCCAAAAGAGGGAGGGAGGACGCGATGCAGCTGGGTAAAGGGGAGTCTGGCTGAGGTGGGGGGGTCTGGCTAAGGGAGGAGGAAATCTGGGGCCGGTGAAAGAGGGATGGCACCGAGAGACACCTCAAGAGAAAGATGACAGTCCGGTCCCGAGAAAAGGGAGGGGTCTGGGGCGGGAGAAGGAGGGGGTCGCCCCGACAGCAGGGAAGAGGGGGTCCAGGGCCGAGGAAGTGAGGAGGATCTGGGGGTGAGGGAGGAGGAAGAGGGGCTGGGGCCGGGGGAGGAGGAGGATCCGGGGTCGGGGCAGGAGGATTGGGGGCAGGGACAGGAGCGACCAAGGCAGGAGAGGAGGGGGGCAGGGGCAGGAGGGACAGGAGCACGAGGGAGCCCGGGGGTGGAGGAACGGGGGTAGGAGAGGGGGACCGGGGCCGGGGGAGGAGGAGGATCCGGGGTCGGGGGAGGAGGGTCCGGGGCAGGGGGAGGAGGAACGGGGGCAGGAGAAGGGGACCGGGGAAGGGGAAGGAGGAAGAGGGTCCGGGGCCGGGGGAGGAGGGTGAGCGACCAGCGCAGAAGAGGAGGGGGGCAGGGGGAGGAGGGGCAGGGGCATCAGGGGGACCGGGGCCGAGGGAGGAGGACAAGGGTCCGGAGCCAGGGGAGGAGGAGGATCTGGGGTCGGGGGAGGAGGATCCAGGGCAGAAGAGGAAGGGGGCAGGGGGAGGAGGCGCAGGGGCAGGAGAAGGACCAGGAGACGGGGGCCGGGGCAGGGGAACGAGAAAGAGGGTCCGGGGCCGGGGCAGGAGGGTCCGGGGAAGGGAGAGAAGGGTCCGGGGCCGGGGCAGGAGGGGGGGCCGGGTCCGGCGGCCGCGCACCTTGAAGTAGCCGCCCTCGTAGTAGGTGTTGGGCGGCCCGAAGATGGCCACCTCCCAGTTGTACAGGTCGCCCTCGTCCACCAGCGTCACGCGGAAGCCCTCCACCGGCTCCTCCTGCAGCCCCTTCAGCTCCAGCAGCAGCGCCTTCTGCGAGCTGGGCACCAGCGGCCGGGCCATGGCGGCGGACGGGCCCGGGGCCGCGTCGGGGGCGCGGG